GGTTCATTATGATTGTGTTGAATTTTAAAACAGTTTAATGAAGCGGGGATTGCCTCGTAAGATTTACGATCAAGAATATATTGAGTGCAGACATTTGTACCCATATATTTTTCTTAGATTTTCAAAGATCATAAATTTCATAATCTTCTAAATTGATTTCAAGAATTTTTTATTTAGAAGTTTTTTAGCACAAATTCAATGACCTCTTGAATTTGTAAGTCAGGAGATTGAAGAGATTTAACTCCCGATGTAGAGCTGGATGCCATTGGGTTTCCATAAAGATATTGTTGTAAATTAATAGATTTTCATGGTGTCACTTTAGGTTGACTATTGCCTCTTCCCCCGTGAAAGGAGGAGCCACCCCGTTGGGGTGTCACTTTAATGCACGGGTGAGGGGTAACCCCTCTTTGTCTTTCGGCCTGCAAAAATTGACGAGTGAGAAAATCAGTTAAATAATTACAAGTCTTTTTTACCTGATTTTCTTTTAAATTTATCTATTTGATTTAAAATAATTTCTGTAGAATTAATAATAAATTCAAAGATAATTGGTTTGCCAAACTTATTGGAATAGATTCCAGTATTATCAATTTTATTAATTGACATTATTTTGTAGAGGAACAAAATTCCCAAAACAATGTATTGTGTTAAATTTTTAACTAGTAGACTATGAATATTAATGCAATCATCATTTTTACAAATATTAGCTGTGAAAATTTTATAATTTACTTCCATTTTATTTTCCTGAAGCAGAAGTTAACTGCTACATGATTTTTTCAAAATATTCCATCCTCAATACAATTCATATATGTACCACTATCAACGAGGGCAGTGAGACGGGATAAAGTATATTTTGTATTTATATTTAAAATAATAGTTATAAATCATTTATGCATAATAGTTTTTTCTTAAAGAATATAAAAAGATTGTTCTTGATCATTTTATTTTTCTATTGGTATTTTAGCAGGTATAATATTGTGTAATTCTAGATTTAATAGTCTAGTATTTTTTTTATTCTTTAAAAAAATATTTATTTCAGATTTTAAAATATTAACTTCACTTTTTAAATCATTATCGTTGTATGTCTATTTTCAGTATCTAAAATTAAAGCTTTATTTAAATTTTCCTTCATATAGTATCCGAAAAAATCAATATTTGAAAAGGATGATTCTTCTTTAGCTACAATAACTATTTTTAACATTTTATTACGATTTTTTTATCTTCAGTTTAGTTTGCAATTCAAAGTATTTCTTCTCTCGTTAAAGAAGATAAAATAAATAAATTGTTCATTTTATCTATAGATTTGTAATAACTTTCATTATTACATTTGCACTCAGATTTTGTTGTGCAATGATTTTTATAAAATTCCGACAATATGAAGAATTTTTATCAATTTCATCAGCACTATCTTAATTGTCAGAAGTTTTAGAGGATAAATTTAAAATGATTTTGAAAATAGATCACCTAATATTTTCATCAATATTAAACTCACTTTTTTTTACTATGCATTTATTTATATTGTGACTTGTTTTGTCACATTTGTAGCATTTAATTTTTTTAATTTTTATTTTTCTTATGAGAATTCTTAGACATTTTATCTGAATAATATCTTTCAGAGTGTTGTTTATGATATTTTTTTATGAAAAGATTTTTTTTCTTTTGAAATTTTAGGAATATCATAAGCAAATTGTTCACAGAAAGCTCATAATCGTTTTCTTTCTGTTAACCTTTTCTTTTTAATCTGATATCTCAATTTGTGATCTTTACATAAGCCTAAGTCTTCTTGTACACACATTTTGATTAGTTGTCCATATGTCAAATATTTATGTAAAATATGTTTGATAGTAATATCTTGTCATTGTCTTTTTAATCTTATTGACAAAAAGATTGGGTAAACATTTAATAAATTTTTGTTTTCAGTACTTACTATTCGCATCTGATAGAGACATCACTTTAATTAAAAATACATCTTTATTTCATAAAAAATGTGTCAAAGTTGGCTATCTTAATTTTTATAGAAGAGAACGAAGTTGCTCTCCATTATCAGATACTATTCCTGTAAAATATTAATGATTAATTTATAAACAACATGTTTATTTTCTTGATTATAATTTCTTATCATTACGGGACTTAAAAATTCTTCTCATTGTTCCCAAGTTAAATAATTATCTTACTAGCCTTTCAGAAAGCCAATAAACCCACAAGTTAATTGGGTTACAATTTGATGTGCTCGATCATAATGAGTCTGAGCGGCAGAGACATAATCATCATTCATTGTAATATTTTATATGACGATAAGTCATACCGTTTATATCTCATTCATAAATATTTGATAGATTATAATCATTTTGATATTTATTATTATCTTCTTCATATAAAATATCTGCAGAGATAGGTTGAAGATAGTAGTATCGACCCTTCTGTCAAGTTTGATATGAAGTTAAGGCTTTATTGTCCTTTAATTAATGTAGTTTAAATTATTCTAATTCTGAATTATTATCTTAGAATTGGTCTTCAATGTTTTCAATTTTAATTTGTTTAAGTTTATCATTATCAGAATTTTCTGATTCATCACTTAATTAATCATCTTTATTTAAGGTCAAAATTTTAGTACATTTTATGTTCTTAATTAATTCTTCAAAATCATGAACAAATGGTCATAAGTGGAAGTTAGGATTATGAGGTTGTTTTATAGTAGGAGCTGAAGAAATAATTGCTGAACTTATTTTCTTTTTTGTTTTGAGTTTTTAAAGAGAAAATAAGTTGGTCTATTTTATTTTCTAATTTCATTCAGTGATTTAAGGTCAAAAGATAGATTAGTACTTGTAAAATTTAATTGTTTAATTATACTAATAAAATCTTTGGTAGCATTAGTTTTTAGAGTTTATCCAAAAATATTTAACCCAAAATTTGGGTTCCTATTATCTAAGTCTAATACTCTGGAAACAATTGGTGGATAAATAAATTCTACTATTTCTTCAGAATTAATATTTCATTTTCTGGTTAACATGTCTAATTCATGTTTTAATTTTTGGTTATTTCATTACTAAACCATGTTAAAAATGAAAAAAAAATCTTTCTCTTCATAGAATCTATTTTCATTTTCTTTAAAATAAATTAAAAAAAATTTTGTTCTATCATCTTCCGTAGTACAACTTCAATATCAGTTTCTGAACGATTCATATTTTGGTTGTAGCTAATAATTGATTAAAGTTTGTAGTATTTGTTTTTGAGCGAATTATTTTAAGTCAGTCATTATTAAAATTAAAACTTGTCTTTGATTGCTGAGATAAGTTTTCCGCCCTATTTGGGTGTAATAGATTATTACTCAATATATATATTTTATCTATTCGTTGATTTATTGTTGAAAATTCATCTGAATCATTTTGAGAATGATTTGAAGAAGGATAAGATACCCGTGTAAGATTAGTGGATCTTCTCGGATTAAATCTTATCCGGACATCCCAATTAGTTTCTTGACTAACTTGTTCTGCATCCTGATTTTTTACAGGATGAGGATTAATAGTTTTCAACCTGTTAATTCAGCGTCTTTGGTTCTCAACTGAAACTATACTAGCAGATGCAAATGCTGACATGCACATAATTAACATCATTAAATTGTCCAACCGTGGAAATTTTTAATCTTCATGCTTTTTATTAGATGCTAGGCATCTAGGTCTCTTCGGTTTTAACTTTAAAACATGGTTAGAGTTGAACAAACATTACCCATGCAACTTAAGTATCCAGCCGACTTTACTTTGAGTGACATAAATTTATATTGTATTCTTTAATATCAGTAGGATAGCAATACTGCGGCATGGCTAGTTTGAATATTTTCAGAATTGGTACAGGTGATGTTGCAATGCCATTTTAGTATGTGAATTTAGCAAATGGTGAATTGTCCCTCTGGCTTTTTTCATGTCTGTAGTATCTTGGTGCTCAGAAATTTTTTGTCCAACATTTTTCAAAATGCTTTAACAGGTTCCCTTGCATGTGATATTCCTTTATATTTGAATAAACTGGTGATGTTAGCCCTTTTATTTCCAAAATGTTCCTCCTTTCCTTCTCAATTCTATGGTAACCTTTTAATTCAGAATATCTTCCTGACATAAATTTCCATTTTATTCTTTAATACAAATAGGATGATAATATTTGGGGGACACAAACATAGAAATGTTCTAAATTGTAGCAGATGATGGTGCAATGCCATGTTAATATGTGAATTTGGCAAATTGTAAATTGTCTCAAGTTCTTACATGTCAATTGTTCTGCTCCTTTGAAAATTTCGTACTCTGCAGTTTTGAAAATGTTGTAACAGGCTTTTGTTAAATTTTATATTCCTTCATACGTAAGTAAACCGGTGATACTATCTCTTTCAATTCCAACTTGCCCCCTTTTTTTCAATTCTAAGGTAGCTTTTTCATTAAAAAATAATTTCCTGTCAAAAAGGTTGGTATGGACCTCTCCACCTTAAAGAAAAGAAAAAAAAACAAATAGTAGAATGAAATGACAGTACTATTATAACAGTTGCAGTAGAGAAGGATCTTTTTGTAACTTTATGCAAAGTACTTTTGATGGAAAAGGATCAAATTGCAACAAGCATGCCCATGTATTTTTTTCTTGTTTTGGTTCTAAGAGTGTTTTCTTGTTACTGATATTGGAGATGATTTTGTAATTTTCTTGTCTCTAATATTGGTTAATCAGTATTATGAAACTTAAGCGCGTATCATAATCAAGTTCTCAGGCTTTTGCAAAGTGGCCTCGCACTTTCAAATAGAAGTACTATACTTGCTGAACTAGATATATCAAATCCTTTAATTAATAAATATTTTTTGCTTTTATTGTCTCTAATATGGGCCAATCAGTATTATTAAGCTTAAGCACGTCATAATCAATTTTTAGGCTTTTGCAAAGTGGCTTGCACTTTCACATAGAAGTACAATACTAGCTAAACTAGATATACCAAATCCTTTAATAGATGAATATTGTTGACTTTTCTTTAGGTGCTGCAATGATATTGGCAGAGTTAGCACTGGAGGCTGGCTTACCTGATGGAGTATTGAATATTGTTCATGGTACACATGTAAGTGTGAAGTAACAATTGATGCATTGGGAGGATATTAGGGCGTCTGCATGACTTTTACATTGTCCTTTGAGATTTAATATAGCTCACTATATCATTATTTAAGTATATGGGCGCGCCCACACACACACACCAATTTATGCTGTCTCAAATAAAATGCTTGTTTGTTTTTGTTTTCTATCCTAAAGGTCTTTGGCGCTAATTTCAGCAGGTGTCACAATGATGGATATCTTCATATACTTATAGATTAATATTATAATCGCTTTCTTGGTCCTGTTAGTTCTTTGATCTGCCAGTGTTGATGCATTTTTTCTCTTTACTTTTATGGATGAATTAACCTGTGTTTTTTTATAGGATATATGGCATATATAAATCAAAAAAAATTTAGGGGCCCTGATTATTATTTTACTTATTTTGCTCTGTTTTATTTGTACATTAATTAACATGCTGTTGCGGGATATATCTTTTGTTGAATTTGGCAGGACATTGTTAACAACATATGCGATGATGATGATATCAGGGCTATATCTTTTGTTGGTTCAAACACAGTAAGCAAAGCTAGCACTTTTTGAGCATGGTTTTTAATTTTTGTTGTTTTATCAGAACTTGGACTTCTTGTTTGCTGTGCTTTTGCATGTCACGTGTTACAAGAAGTAGGGAATACCCGCGTTCCTGCGGTTCTGATGCAACTTGTGTATTTCACTGTATAGATTTGTATTTCCGTTCTCTGACATGCCCATTTAGTTGTATTTCCGTTCTCTGACATGCCTATTTAGTCTCACAGCATTACGTTTTCCTTTCCATCTGTTAAGGGAGTCTAAACCAGTACTGGCAAAAGTCTTGGGCCATAAATATTAACTGGTTTGAAAAAGAGGTGTTACTTTTCTTCAAATATATCGTGCTTTGAATTTAACATTTGTAGTGTCTTCTGAGGTACATGAGGGAGAGCTTGATCCCAGAAAGGTTATTACTGTTCAATCATTGCTGGGACTTGAATCTTGGCATTGTACTTTGTTATGAAATGCTATTAGTTTCATGGTAATCAAGCATAGTCTGTGTTAAGGATTATGAAGTTTCATGGCTGTGGCCGTAGATATTTTAAAGTTTGAAGAAGCATATGGTTTTACATTACCTCAGCTGTTACTGTATAAGTAGAAGTGGAATTTAAGACTGCATCCTATGACTAATTGTTAGAAGTAGATATTGTCCAGATAAAAATGTAATTTAAAAACTTTCTATTCTTGTCTAAGTTTTCAAAAGGTGGTGATGTTTGCCACACCATGGGTTTTAATTTATGTTAGACTGCTGTCTCTGTCTAGGCTGGGATGCACATCTATGCCAGAGCAGCTGCTAAGGGGAAACGTGTTCAGGTAAACCTGTCTATGAGAATTTATGTTATATCTTTCCATATTTGATTTCTTAACTATTTTTAACTATTGGTAATTAGATTTCTTTCACTTAAGTATTAGAGTTATCTAAAGAATGATTCCCTTTCTCAGTCAAATATGGGTGCGAAGAACCATGCCGTTGTCTTGCCTGATGCTAGCATCGATGCAACATTAAATTCTTTAATTGCTGCTGGTTTTGGAGCTGCCGGACAAAGGTGCATGGCGCTCAGTACCATTGTATTTGTTGGGGGATCAAGACCATGGTACTATAGTTTGGTTGTTGAGTTTTTTTGGATTTTCATTAAAAAAATTTTGACAAAAGTGGTTGCTCAAACTTAATTTAGAAGCATTTCGGATGGTGTTTCATTATTTTTTTGGCCCTATTCAGGGAGGATGAACTGATTAAACGTGCCAAAGCATTGAAAGTAAATGCTGGGCTGGAGGCTGGTACAGACCTTGGTCCTGTCATCAGCAGACAGGTGATTTTAACGATATATTTGCCTAAATAGTATCATTTTATAAATATATACTGTATTTAGCTTGTGGATTTTCCCGTGTTTATATATATCTCAAGTCTCAACTTTTGATGTGCATCAAATTCTATTCTTTCATTTCAATGAAATTTGTTGGGGATTTTCCTGTGTTTGATACTCATCGTTGACATGCATTGGATATTCCCTGTGCCCTTTGATTGCTTTTTATAAACAGGCAAAGGATCGAATTTGCAGATTGATCCAAGGTGGAATTGAAAGTGGTGCCAGGGCAGTGCTTGATGGGAGAAACATTGTGGTAAGATTTGTTTCTGACTAGATGTTCGTAGAATTACCATAAAAAGTGTTTTTAAGTCGAAGTTTTACTTCTACTCTTTTGTTTTGGAAACCCTTTATTAATTTAAAGATCTTGAAAATATTATATTATTGACTTTTGAGGGATCTGGAAATTAGTTCTTGGTTTCTTTGTTTTCACTACAAATAGAACTTTGTGAGAGATGAACTTTGCATCCCAGAGTCAAAAGTAAATATAGGGGGGGGGGCTATGTGTGGGCTCCAAAAATTCTGATGCCCTAGACTATTTTGTTGTGTTGAGAAAGCTTTGAGGGTCGAAATTTTATAAGACAGACTAGATTGTAGATAAGACATTATCTAGAGATTTCACCCTCATTTTGAGATAAGACTTTTTTATTTGGGGTTCGAGGTTCTCATAGGTGCAAGCTCCAATAATTAATTACCCCTCAAGATCACAGGAGAGCACTTTCGATTAAGGTTAGTCATTGAATACTAAATAATCAACATATTTAACATATAGTAGCAACAAACTTACATTTTAAATTGTAAATTTTATCACTTAGAGCTTAAAGTAGATGATGGGAGAAATAATGTCTAATCCGATCAAGATCCCATGGTTTCGTCGTCCCGGGTCATCGTGGTCCCTGATCCTACTTAGTTAGAGGAAATAGCCTACTCAACTCGACTGAAGGATTCTTGTCAGCAACTATGAGTTGTGTCGTCCAAAAGATCCTTATAGATATGGGGTGAATATTTGTCTAAGGCAACACATTTAATCTCGAACTTAGCTAATAAAAGATTTTGTACCAATCATATGTATTCTTATGATTCACAACTCAAAAAACGTGAAGTTATTAGGGAAAATACGGGCTGCAGTCATGAACGCAATATAATGTTGCCATTTGGAGTCAATCATTCAGTTAGAGAGCTTTGGTCGTAATCTCTATATTGTGGAGACTTTCGGCCAATCCACGTGATCAGAGGACTCGAGTCATATCATTACTGGCATGAAACTACTTTGAGTGTAAACATAATGATACACCCGGTGTAAAATTAACTCTTCTGTGAGTTGAAGTCAATCAAACATTTGTCAGTCTTGACAAAATATTGCGAAGGGTGGATGCGGCTTGCATTAAATTGTTAAATGATTTAATTTTACATGAATATTTTGTTTGGTTATTTTGAAAATCTTGATCTTGAAAATTTACCCCTTTGGTTGAAATATTGACGCAAACATGTCTCCCACATGGCATGGGTGTGTCTCTTGCACGGGATGCGACAAGCCCAACCAACTAACTGGGCACTGTTTCATGTAAACCGGTTCATCCCGAGGGGATCAGGATCACACAATTACCCCTTCACAGAGAATTGTCGTTCAACTGAGGGGGCCCCACCATTAGCTATCATAGTAGCATTTATATGTTATTTTTTGGGTTTTAGGTCAGTTTTTGTTTCAACATTTCTGTTGTTTGTGTCTTTTTCTTATTCGGGTTGTATCCAAGAATAGGTGGTACTGCGACTGTATCATGCTTCAAGGTGATGATTACCTCCACATTTTTCCTTCCCTTTTCCCCTTCAATGGCTTCCGCCCTCCCTGTGCCTCCGCCTTGCTCCTATCGCTTCTCCCTACTCATCCTAGGTTGTTGTCGCCTCCCTACATCACACCCTTGATATCCAGCTGCCCCATCGCAGTTCCTGCTTGTTGCCGCACGATCCATAGGCTCATGGTTGTTGTCCAACCGCCAACCACCTTCCACTCGCTTCCGTATACCTTTCTACCACCTACCACTTTCAGTTTCCGCTTCCTCAACACACAAACCACCACCTTCCTTCCTCACCTTAGGGAGTCTTTTGTGTTTGTTATTGTTTTCCTATTTCAAGTGTCTTTGTTTGAAATCCCCTTTAAATTTCAGCAATAATACTTTTTTTCAATTATGTTTTTGCTTTAACTTTAGTATCATTTGGTATTAGAGCTGGCCTAGTCCCAGTCCTATCCAAGGGTTTATAACATCCCTACTTACCTCCACCCCAAAATTTTTTTTTCCCATCCTCAAATAACCTCTTTCACTCCCACAAACTTAACAATGCCACCAAGAAGAAATATGTCGGAACCTACTCGAGAAGATATATAATGAAAGATCTGCTCACTTTACTAGAGTCCCACCAGAGATTGGTGACGAGACCCAGGGGAAATTACCCTCAACCATGACATGAAGAGTTGAGGCAAAGGAAGGGAAGAGAATTTGAATCCCTTCCATAGGGAGGACTTTAGTGATGAGAAGGACATATCACAACGCTTTGATATTCACTATTAGAAGAGATCGAGAGAGGAGGTGACATGGAGAATATATAGATTTCAGGGTAAAAGTGGATTACTAGAGTTCGATAGAGGGATGGATCCAGATGATTTCATTGAATGATTGCAGTCAGTCGAGGGAATCTTTGAGTACAAAGAAGTACTAGAAGACAAGAGGGTGAAACACACACCCATTAATTTGAAAAAGAGTAATTTCTTGTGGTGGGAAAACTTGCACATACTGGAGAGAAGTGACAATATTACCAGATGGGAGAAGATGAGGAAGGAGATGTAGAGGAAATACCTCATCACTACCGTCTGGATATATTTCTGAGGCTTGATCACCTACAACAAAGAGACTTATCAGTGGAGGAGTTAATGATACAATTTAACTAGCTTCAAATAGAATGTGAATTGGTCGAGCTAGAGGAAAATACGATAGCTCGATACATGGGAGGTTTGAAGCCAACTATCAATAACATTTTGCAATTGCAACCATATTGGTCTCTGGGAGATGTCCAAACCTTAACATTGATAGTGGAGAGACAGTTGAAACAAAGTAAACAATCGCCACCATTTAGACGGCCGCCTGTAGTTGGAGGCGTCAGCAAAAGCACGTCTTAGGGAGTTGAGAAGCCCGAGAAGAGTAGCATGCCCAATATAGTTTTAGTTATAAAATGATTTAGCTGCCATTGATTTGGGCATATCAAATCCAACTCCTCAACGAGTCGATTGTGTCCTTTACAGAGCTGGGTGCAATAGAGGAAGTTAGCGACAAGGAAACAACTGATGAAAAGGGTTAGGAGGATAGACCACAACGCTTTTGAATTCATTGTCAGAGAAGATCGAGAGAGGAGACGACTTATGGTGAATATATAGATTTCAGAGTAAAAGTGGATCTATCGGAGTTTGATGTAGGGATTGATCCAGGTAATTTTATCGAATGGTTGCAGTCGGTCGAGAGAATCTTTGAGTACAAAGAAGTGTCAGAAGACAAGAAGGTAAAACTCACATCCATTAAATTGAAAAAGAGTACTTCCTTGTGGCAGGAAAACTTGCAGAGACAGGAGATGAGTGACAATGTTACTTGATAGGAAAAGATGAGAAAGGAGATGTAAAGGAAGTACTTACCTCCTCACTACCATCAGGATATATTTCTGAGACTCCATCACCTACAACAGTGAGACCTATCACTGGAGGAGTTCACAATATGATTTGACCAATGTAATGTAAAATTTGAATTGGTCAAGCCAGAGGAACATATGATAGTTCGATATATGGAAGGTCTGAAGCCATCCATCAATAACATGTGCAATTGCAACCCTATTGGTCACTAGGAGATGTTCAGATCTTTGCAATGAAGATGGAGAGATAATCAAAACAAAGCAGACAATCAGCAACATTCAAATGACCACTCGTAGTTGGAGATGTCAACAAAAGCACGTCTCAGGCAGTTGAGAAGATTGGTCATGATAAGGATGAAACCAGTTAGAGTGAGAAGAAACCTGAGAAGAGTAGCACGCCCACTATAGTTTTAAGCTATAAAATGCTCAGATGCCATATATTTGGGCATATCACCTCCAGCTGCCCAACGAGTTGGGTTGTGTCCTTTACCGAGTAGGGTGTAGTAGAGGAAGTTAGCGAAGAGAAAACAACTGAAGAAAATGGTGAGGAGTACTAGCTCACCATATAATGGAGACATGTTGGTGGTTCAACGAGTTCTTCAAATTGAAACCCTGAAGGAGCAACATTAGTTTTGCCATAATATATTCTACACTCGTTGCGCCGTGAAAGAAAATGTATATAGCATCATAATCGATGGAGATAGCGACAAGAATGCGACATTCACTCTGATGGTGGACAAGTTGAGCATTACTGCTCAGAGACATCTCCATCCATATTTCCTGATGTGGTTGAAAAAGGAGAACATGATCAATATTGGCAGGAGATATCTCGTGGAGTTTTCTATTGGGAGCAAGCTACAAGATCCTGTTTGATGTGATGTGATGCCCATGAATACCTACCATAATTTGTTGGGTAAACTGTTGCAGTATGATCACAAGGCTCAACTTGATGGGTACATGACCACCTACTCATTCACCAAAGATGGTGAGCACATAGCATTTCTACCTTCTACGAAGTCTAAGATTAGAGGTACCCTTGCAAACAAAGAAGCATTGGGAGGATCGTTCTTGGGGATGATTGAGGACCACGAGAGAGAAGAGCCTGTAGCAGACACATGTCAGTCAGTACAGAGAGAGTTTCAGGACATCCTGTTTGCTTGCCTATCACTTTGACTGCCACTACTCAAAATGATTCAAATTATTCTCACCTCAAAAACATGTTATATCTACCTTGGGCTATTCTTGGAGAATTCAGCAAAATACACTTTGACTCGGAATCCCAGTTCAGCTCAGCAATGTACTCCCAGATGGGTGGAACAGTAGGGATGTTTGCTCGCAAGTGTGGAAAACTCCTCAGGTGCTTTGGGGGACAATGTAGTTGTTAGTGATATCCATGTACTTCTCGGACTATAGTCGAAGACGCCTCAACCCAGTGAGATTACAGGGCTTCACTACTCTTAACATAGCAGATTGAGTCCGTGCTACATGGACCATAAGCTTTGACAGTGAGATGAGTTTGAAGCTCCACAAAACTGGAAGAGTGATGCGAGTGCATCTCCTGCACATTGCTGGCGCGTCTTCTGCATTGGAGTAGGATGTGGGAACCCCAGTTGTCGAACTGGGGTTTGTTTAGCATAAACCGGTTCATCCACAATATGATCACTTCTTCACGGGAAATTGCCGCTCAACTAAGGGGCCCCACCATTACAATATTTATATGTTATTTTTTGGGTTTTTAGCTCAGTTTTTGCTTCAGCTTTTTTGCTGTCGGTGCTCTGACTGTATCTTGTTTCAAGTTTGTGATTATCTCCACATTTTTTCTCCCCTTTCCCCCTCATTTACTTGTTGTTGCCCTCCCTGCGCGCCCACCTTTTTACCACTTATTCCTACTCCTAGGTGGCTTCGGCCTCCATAGGCCGCACCCTTGTTTTCTAGCCGCCACCATCATAGTTTTCGCTTGCCGCTACATACTCCATTGTATCTTGGTCGTTGCTAGCAGCCAAACCACCTTCCCCTCACTGTCGTAAACTTCTCTACCACCTACTACTCTCTGTTTCCCCTGCCTTGACACACAATCCACCACCCTAGTTCCTTGTCCTAGGTAGTCTTTTGTGTTTGTCTTTTTTCTATTTAAACTGCTTTTGTTTGTAATCCCTTTTGAATTTCAACAATAATATTTTCTTTTCATTGTGCTTTTAGTTTAATTTCAATATTAAATATTTTATTAACTCTGATATCATTGAGGATTTTGAATATTTAAACATTTTAAATTTTAAGTTCATTTGAGTTTGGTTTTTTAAGCTTTTTAGTATATATGCCAACTTCAGTCCTATTAAGGAGGAGGGTCGAATTAAGTGATTTGAACTTGCAAATTCTTATCTTATGATTTAAAAATCTATTTTAAAATTATTAGACCTATCAACTCCACTCCATAAGAGGATGAAGATTAGATTTTTGGAGTAGGACTTATAACCTTGCTTCATAGACAAGTCAACCCGATTGAGAGCATGCGTAATTTAATTATCTTGGATTTGACTTTTGATATATGAGGGTTCTTTTATTTTAAAATAATCTTAAACTTTCCAAAAGAATTTTGCACTTTTATCAGAAGAAGAATTATTTGAATGACCCTTGAAATTTATGCACTACTTAATTTGATGGGGCACATGCAGATTTATAATTTTTAAGATCTTGTGCACATTTCAAGTGTGAGACATATAATGGAAAAGTAAGTATTTAATGTATCCAAGACTTTCAATAACAAATTTTCTAAAATGTTCGCCCATATATTAATGCAAATGCATCAAACTCAGGAATATGTCTTAAAACACAAAATCAAGCTTAAAAGTTATTGAACAAATCTTTCTTACATCTCATTAAAATACATACAAATACTTACGTCCGGACAAGTGCGAGTTCATTTGGGTGCCATGTCGCCATATACATTGGCGGCGGGCGACGTGGTGCTCGGCAGTTGGCCATCCGGATGTGGGGACGTCCGGACGTAATATTCTTTCCTCATTTGGATGGATGCAAGAGAGAAGGGAAGAAAGTTATAATGTCCTTTTCTCAACTTGTTCTCATCTACATAGTAGTTGGCAATGCTCTTTTTCATTCATTGATATAGACCAAGTGTCTAATTGTCTCTAACTTTGTATAATTTTTTTTTAATAAACTTCCCTTTTAAAGTTTAGTCGAGCATTTGATTCTTGTGCAGTTTTGGATATAAATGACCTAACCATGAAAACTTCTGTGACTTGTGTATGTTCTATTTTTTGTTTGAATTTTGCTGGAAGTTTTATTACTATCCTTACTATTTCAATATAAAACAAAATCATAAATATTTAAAATCTTAATTCGTTTTATCTGTGATCCTCTGTTCTCTAGGTTCCTGGTTATGAAGCAGGCAACTTTGTGGGACCTACAATCTTAGCTGATGTCACATCTGACATGGAATGTTACAAGGTATTCAAGCATTTTACCTTAGCTATTTTTCATCATAGTTATTGATGTTCTGGCAGGCATTGCCACCATTTATCATAATTATCCTTTTCATTGCCTCAGTCCTCACCACGATCATCGACCTTTTTTCTACTGTGGTTAATAGATCTGCTTGTAAAGGTTCAAAAGGATATAGAAACTAAATGTTGAAAGCTTCTTTTGTAAATTGCAAACATTTCACCGTTGAATGACGCATTCATTTAATCTTGCACATGTTTTAATGTCATCATCTGCTGAATCTAACAGGAGGAAATATTCGGTCCAGTTCTCCTCTGCATGCAGGTACGCACCTATGATGATTACCCTTTTTGCTGACTTTTGCATATAGGCACCATAACCTTGCTCTGTGTATAACCTGCATTTTTTAACCTTGCAAATAAAATTAATTGCAAATGCACTCAGACTTATATGACACTGCCCTCTTATAAACTTTGACAGGCCGAAAGTCTTGAAGAGGCTATCAGCGTTGTCAACAACAACAAGTATTTTTTTTCTTCTTCCAGGACAGTTTTCAAGTATTTATATTTTTGTCACTTAACAAGTCCAAATTACCTTTTTCTTTTGGCTAGGTATGGTAATGGAGCATCCATCTTTACCTCTTCTGGTATAGCTGCAAGGAAGTTTCAGAATAATATTGAAGCTGGTCAGGTATGTTTAAGTTGCCAATTGCCAATTTTAAACAACTATTACTAAACTTTAAATAATCCATCAAAAGAAAGTGGAAAAAAAGGATCGGTCACCGAAATTTTGGAATATTGAGTGCATTGTACTTGTAGCAGTGCAGCCAAATCCTCAGAAAATCGGAAATTTATGAAAATAAGACATGAGGCCAAGATAGTTTTTACTTTATATTTATAAATGTCTTGTGTTTCTGGAGAAATTTATCTGACTTCTTTTTCTTTTATAACTGGTTAGGTTGGCATTAACGTGCCTATTCCAGTTCCTCTCCCATTCTTCTCATTCACCGGCTCTAAGGCATCTTTTGCGGGTGATCTTAACTTCTATGGTACGCTCAGATTTATTATTTGATTTTCCACACCATTTTTCTTTGTAATCAGAGTCAGGACAGCATATTCTGATTAAGTTTTTTGTTGGGATGGGTTTCCAATTTATTGTATTTTTTCCCCCCAAATCAGTGCAATATACATTTTAATTGATTACTCATGTATTAGACTTATTTCAATGTAAATTCAATTACTTCCTTGAACTTTGGTAAGGATATTGATTAAAATTTAATTAGGATGAATTGTAACATAAGAATTATTTAATTATTTATGAATTATGGAGGAATGCTTCAGGCCTTTTGTGTGATAGAAAAATACCGCTTAGATTGAAATGAAAATTTTAGAAGACGGTGGTGAGACCTGCAATGCTCTATGGCGCTGAATGTTGACATTTAAAAGAGAAGCATAATACTAAGTTAAGTGTTGCCGAGATGAGAATGATTAGGTGGATGAGTGGCTTTACACTTAGAGACAAAATGTGCCGTGATAGGGTTGGGGGTTGGTGTAGCTTCTGGGACCGACAAAATTAGTGAGAGTAGTCTTAGGTGGTTTGGTCACATTAAGCATCGACCATCTAGTGATCCGATCAGGAGAGTATATGTTCTATATTCGAATTATGTTAAGAAGGACACAGGTAGACCTAGGAAGAGCTGGGCTTCTTGAATAAAAAAAAATGTTCTTAATTTGTTAGAACTAAATGAAAATATGACACTAAATAGGACACAATGGTAGAAAAAGGATTAATGTAGCCGACTCCACGTAGTGGGATTAAGGCTTTGTTGTTGTCGTTGTTGTATGAATTGCGTTGTTGTCGTTGTTGTATGAATTGTGCTCATCTCAAATCAAATTTGAGTGATTTAAAACCCATCCATTCAGATTAAAGTTTGGGCCAGAATATACTCAAACCAGTGTTTTTTTTTCACCTTCTCTAACCCATAGAAGTACTTTTGAATGACAGGCAAGGCCGGCGTACAATTCTACACTCAGATAAAAACTGTGACACAGCAGTGGAAAGATTTGCCTGTCCAGGGAGTTTCACTGGCAATGCCGACATCGCTGAGAACATAGAGGCCAGTATTGACACTTTTTTATCCTCTTGTTTGATTGTTAATTACAATTTTCAAGTATTTTTATGATCCTGCTTTCTAAAATATGTTTGGAATGTTGAACTTATGCAATTCATAATTTTCATTTTCTGGAATATATTCCATGTTCCTGCATTATTGTCAATTTTAGCAAAGATTAAGGTTTCTTTGTGTGCTTAGGCTTTGAAAGGTTGCATATTGCATTAAACTAACCAATAAGTATAAAAAAGATGGCCCTAGGCATATTTACACTATGATATGTATGAAATTTAATAAAAGAATAAAGAACATGATACTTATTTAATCTTTAATAATAATAATAGTAATAATAATAACTCTTGTAATGCTAATGTGTGCACCATTGGGATGCCTTATTGTTCTATATGAAAATTTTGCTGAAACAAACCTTATATAAAATGAGAAATGTGAACTCTGAGCTGTTCTGAGGTCTTGCCCTCCAAACTTGGATACTGGTTTAAAAGGTTGAATCAAACTAGAGGTTTATACACAATTAAGGATTTTGGCAAGCTACTCTAGATTTCAGCAACAAGAAAAAAAAGTTAAACCTTTTTTTACTACCTCACTAATTAAACCAACTATTCAAATTCTTACTTTGCTAGATTTTTTCATAGCTAAAATTTTGAGTGCTGGCGTAATGGATGTTAATGCGGTTTGAAAAAATTTCACAAATGATATTCTTTTTATTTTGTTGTGTTTTTTTCTTTTGGAAAGAAATATGAGGTGGTTGTAGGGAGTCTAAGAGAATAATTCGTGAAACTGAAATTTTGCTTTTAGTGATGTTTATAATAGATTACATTCTAAAGAGGACAAAAATTATATGTATAAATTAACCAAATAAAGAGTCATCAAAAAGGTTTAATTCAAGCAAAGTGTATTAAAGATGAAAAAAATATTTTTCTTAGAGGAAGATATTCAATCTAGGTGGGTGAGTTATTTTGATAAATATTTCAATGAAGTTTTTGAAAATATGATTGAACATTGTGATCTTAATCTTGTTCATAATAATAAAGTTTTTTACCTTTACCATCACATTAGTAAAAAAAATGTTAAGGAGATTTTAAATAAAATCAAATGTGGAAAATCAATAGAATTTGATGATATACCTATTGAAGTGTAGAAATATCTAGAAGATTTGCGAGTCTATTGGCTTATTAAACTCTTTCAAAAACTAAAAGAATGCTTGGTGAGTGGAGGAAAAATATTTTGATCTTTATTTTTAAGAATAAAGGGGTGCACAAGAGTGTGCAAATTATAAATGATTTAAATTTTATATGTCATACTTTAAAATTATTGAAGAGAGTAATTGAACATATGTTAAAACTTGATACAAAGATTTCTCATAATCAGTTTTGATTTATGTTAGGCAAGTCTACTATGGAAGTTATACATTTATTGAGAGGTTTGATGGAGAGTACAGAGAAAGGAGGATATACATATGATTTTTATTGATTTAGAAAAAAATATACGATAAAGTTCCAAAAGAAGTCCTTTGAAAAATTCTAGAGAAAAAATGTTTTGATATGAATTATATTCAAGTTATTAAAGATATGTATACTATAGTTGTTACTTGTGTTAGAATAGGAGGATGGACACATTATTTTTCTATTTCAGTTGGACTACATGGGGGGTCAACTTTAAGCCTATGTCCTTTTGCTTTAGTTATGGATGCTCTTAGTGGACATATACAGGAGGATGTACCTTGGTATGTTTTTTGTTGATGATATCCTTGTGTGTAAGACTAAAGAAGGAGCTCAGGAGAAACTTGAATTATGAAGATTTTATATTGGAGCCTAAAGACATTCCTTTGAGTAGATCTAAAATTGAATACATGGAATATAATTTTATAAGAAGCTTTAGTGGCAAAATTGTATCTATGGGTGATCAAATCATTAAAATGTGTAAACGTTTTAGATATCACTGGTCTATTGTGCAAAGTGATGGTGATATAGATGGAGAAATTATTAGTAGAATTCAGGCTGCTTGGTTGAAGTGAATGAATGCATCAGGCCTATTGTGTGATAGAAAAGTACCACTTAGACTTGAAGGAAAAACAAAATTTTGGCCTTTAAAAGAGAAACATAAAATAAATTTAGCTGTTGTTGAGATGAGAATACTTGGGTAGATGAGTGGCTTGACACTAGGAGAAAAAATGCGAAACAGATCTATCTGTGAAAGGGTTGGTGTAGCTCTAGTTGCAGACAAGATTAGAGAGTCCGCTTGAATGGTTGGGTCACATTAAACATCAATTATCTGTTGATCCAGTTAGGAGAGTAGATATTTTAGATTCACCATATATTAGGAAAGGCAGAGGAAAACCTAAAATGACTTAGGTTTATTGGATAAATAACTCTCTTAATATATTAGAATTAAATGAAAATGTGACACTCAATAGGATACAATAGAGAAAAAAATTCATGTAGCAGACCCTACTTAGTGGGATAAATGTTTGTTGTTGCTGTTCTTCTTCCTATAATTGTCTTTCCTACATTCTTCTTGAATATTACGGAGCAAACTTCAATTTAATAAGAAAAAATCTAAAATCTATCTTGATCTATACTTTTTCTTCAATTCTCCACATTCCATGTCATAGTTTATAAAATATTAAAATAGCTTATTTCTAAGTTTTTAAACCTTTCTAAAAATAATCACACTCATCATTTCTCCCAATCTAACCATATTTTAAATTCCACATAAAATTAACCACTCAACATAATCAAATTTCACCTATCCCTTCTTATAGCTCTCAAGCAACACTAAGAAATCATCTTCCTAACTTGTCCAAAGACTCAAATTACTTAGAAAAATAATTATCCAACACAAAATACATTAACATGTGAATCTATCACAACAAATTTGGATTTATTATTTCTCATGTAAATCCATACATCAGCATTTAGAAAAACAAAGTCATACATATGCATTTATCTAATTACTAGATTGAGACAAAAAAATAATTTTTTATAGGATATTTCACGACAAATGTAGATCCATAAATTATGTTCATACAAAATATTTATTATTTCTCTGTAGTAAGAAAAATTTTTTCTCGCATAAAATATAAAGAAATTTGTGATAGTTTTTTCGCATGGCTTTCGGTTGCATTGGTGGTGAATGGAAGGAGAATGATGATGTATGTGGACACCAACAAGGGCTTGAACGAGAAACTGAGAGAGGGAGAGCAAGAGGTGTTTCAATGCGAGCAAGAGACAAATGGAGGAGGAAGAGAACAGAAGTTTTAAACTAAATTGGAGGAATACATTTATTTTCGATGAGGGTAAGATGATTTTGATTCAAAGAGTTGTAATAAAATGATAAAAATATTAAGAAATAAAAAAAAATCACTTTTCTAAGGAAGATACAATTAAAAAAAAAACTCTTGATAATTTTTGCTTAAATATTTTAATTCTAATTTATTGTAAGTATTATATATACAAATACGTCTGTATAGAACTTTTTACGTGTATTCTGGAGTCCACCTGCTAAAATGGCTAAATCGGTCTCTTCCATTTCATGGGGCAGTGAGATACAACTACTAGAGATCATCATCATTACCAGGAAGGATGCATATCCATCAATCTTTAAGAGCATCATCTCACATTCATGGATGAGAATCATGCATAACTAGAAATAAAGGAAAGTCAAGTTGAGAAAGAGGGCTCTGTCTTTTTTGAAGATTTTCATGAATTTATGAGAGGATCTATCTCTCTCTCTCTAGGAAAAAAAAACCCTGTAGTTCGGAAAACCTCCGACGAGCCCAATATCCCGCGTATTTCAGCTTACCAGAGGCTTGAGTTCAATATATAATCTCTGAAACCTCTCTCGTCTTACACACATCTCTCCTACCTCAAAACACGATCTTTAGCGATTTGTTTGTACTCACGAATGATATAAGACCCTACATCCTAAAAGAATTCGACAAGAGTAAATGAGTTAACATACCAATCCATCAATTTTGGAATTGGCTCAAAACTTATTTATCAAATCAAATGGCAGTCGGCTCATGAGTCAATTTGACAATTACATGTCAATATATGTGCAAATATTACATCAATTTTTATTATATAGTTTAAAATAAAGAAATTGCTAAATTAAAATTTGAAATACAAATCATATTATATTTAAGTAGCATTATTGATACATAAGTTATAGATTCAAATTATATGATTTTTGACTCATTATAAAGCCGAATTAAATACGCGCTGACTAATAAATTAATTCACGGAAATTTACATAACTAACCCCCACTTCTTATGTATTTACATATTTCACACCCAAACGCTATATGTTATAAAAAGGAAAATTATGGAAATCCATCTTTTCATATGTAGGAAAATATGCTTTAATTGTAAAAGTTAAAGTTTTGGGGTGAGATATATAAATACTAAGAATTGGGTGCTATATCTCAGGTCTGTGAATTTAGCTCGAAGATGATTGTTCGAAAATTAATTCAAATTTCAACTCCGATCGAGATTGAAGCTGATTTCTAGGCCCAAAACTAGATTGTTAGCAGTTAAGGACTGTAAATTTAATGAATTTAACTTGAAAAACATTAATCATGTGAAAATTAATTTAAAATTATAGTTTAGATCAAGATCAGATTGAAATAAACAAACCGAGCTATAAAGTAAAATATTGAATCAAATTTTTTTCATACCAATTTTGAGCCGATCCCAACACAATCTCGAAATTGAATCGTTAGGTGGTTGTCTGACAATAAATGCGATTTTAGTTATTAGGATTTAGTAAATCTTATAAATCTAAATTTAATAAACCCTAAATGGTTTAAAGCCAGAAATCCATGTGGCAACATGTTTACTAAATCCTATAACCTGTGGCTGAACCTACTTAGCCTTCACCACCTGTTCAGGAAGTATTTTTTCCTTGACCTTGACCTAGTAACCGAACCTGTTGACAGAGCCTGCCTGTTGATTCCTTATCTATACCCACCCAACAACGGCTAATGAGGATTTAATAAGTAGGTATGACCGGTGGAGACAATCAGAAGCTCTCCACCGATTCGTAGGATTTCGGATTTAGGGACTTTAGTTCTTCCAATGTTAATTGAAGAAATAATGGAGCAATGAAAAATTAAAAGAATCTTCCATTTTATCATTCCC